AATTTTTTTACGTGTGAAGAATTATTGCTCAGCTAACCGTTCACAAAGAGAAAATAAAGTAAGTCATAAAGTTGAAAATAAAAAAAATAAAAAAAATTAACTCTAGTGTTGCTCTAAACGAATTATAAGAAATATCGCAGGTTTATTCAAAAAAGTCAATAAAGATTGAACGGCTTTTGTCTTACAAAATTCCGTTAAATAAAAACCACCTTTATTATTTGATTTAAATTAGATTAGATTTTAAAAGTCACTGACAAAAAATACATATAGTAAATTAGTTAGTACCTACTCATACACACAAATCACAGTCATATTAAGGAAATTTTGCCAAAAGGCCTACTATAAATTGGCAATAACTCAGTGAAGTTACTCTTGACTTAATTGAGGATCAGGTGGACTTTATTCATCGTTTGTTGCCTTAATTCTAAGATTAAATAGGATGATTTATCCTCTTACGCCTCCACTACACGTCTAATAAAAACAAAGAGGATATAATTGAAATAAAAAATGATATTTATTTATCTCTAAGCTACTATTTAAAAGGGCTCGTTTTCTGCCCTAATAAAGTAATAATATGCACTAACCCATATAGCCTCGTGGGTTTCGTAAGTTGTCTAGAGAGGGAAACTGAAACAGGTGACAGGCAGCACCATCTTCTTGATAACAACTCTAAACTTTAAAAAAAACTGCGGTTGCCAACCTGCGTAGTATTTGCTTATAAAACTAATAAAATGCTCCGATTTTATTTGTCTTAGTATTGAGTATACACGATACTCAATAATATACTAGATTCTTGTTAGGAAACCACGAGTGTAATACATTTAAATGCAAAGCATATTATATTTGTTAATATAATTAATGTATTCTTTTCGCAACTGAAAAGCTATAGTCTAATTTATTTAGAGGCTCGGCGGTGAAGGAAATAATCGTCAAAAGACTGCATTTCTGAGATAAAAAAGAGATTTTGAGGATATGACATAATGGGTCTATATATCTCTCACATAACCGCAATTAATTGAGGCTTTGCATCGCACCCTTAAACCGAGTTGTATAGAGCGATTTTAAATATTTCTAAATCAAATTTAAATTGCGTAGCCAATTTGGCGACCTCTCTTCTCAAGGGTAACTCGCTTAGAGCCGGGGCGTTATCAGTGGCAGCTCAATTAAGTAAGTGGTGCAAAAATATGAGATTTTGAAAAATGACTACATATTTGTGCCATTTGCTGTAGAGGCTATCGGTCTTTGGGGTCCACGTGCGGTGAATTTCCTAAAGGAACTGTATCCCCGAATGGTCGTTGCTGCTGGTAGAGGTATAAGAGGGCTGGTTCTTTTCTCGATCAAAGGCTAAGTATAGCTATTCACGGGGACAAGAACTGTATGACAATTTAAATTTTTAGTTTTAGTTTTTATATATTATAGTTTTTTTTATTTTAATATTGTGCGTAACCTTTTAGTTAGATTCAATTTTATACTGTTTTAACAATGTGAATACATAAAGACAATTTTATAAATATCAGTTAAGAACCTTTATCATTCTGAGTGAAATTATTATTATTATTACTAAAACTCATTAAAAGTGAAATATTAAGTTGATCGTCGTTGGCTCGCTATTTTTTTTTTCGCGGTAACATTCAACTTACTTCTTCTATTTGTAACTTGCGTTGTTAGATGAATCATTTTCTGGATGTTTCAGGTGTGGGATTATAAATATATACACCATATGGTAGGACTCCTTTTATATCTTGGGGTGCAGCTCCGTAGCACAGTGAACGTCCATGAATCCAAGCTGCTACTGAGAATTTCTTGACAGGAAAACAAAATAACTTATCTTGCGCCGACCTTGAGTTTGAACTCTAAACCTCATAAGAAGCAGCATTAACAGTCATGAATTTGAACATTAGACCAACGCAGTTGTCAATCATCGAACATTACATACAATATGACCCTACATTTATAACCAAAGTTGTTTGGTAACTTCAATAGCGTGATCCATTTACAGCATAAACTATGTACGATGTTGTGGTGCGACAACACCATCATCACTACATTACATGCTAAAATAAATCCTTAAAACTGATGGTACGATTTTCGTAAAAGGAAACATCAAGATAGTACTTAGATATTCAAGTGTATAAACATTATCTTACGACGCGGCATACGAGTATCACATCATTAATACAACAACGTAACGAGTACGTTGTTGTATTAGTGATGTGCATAGCAGAATAGCTAGTTTCCATTTTCAAGTTAATAAGATTTATAAATTATTCCTTTATTTATCCGATTTTATTGGTGAATAAAAATATTTATATACTTAAAATATTCTACTGGATATGGGCCTCTCCCATATCAGGGAGATGTAATATGGAGACGTAATCTACTGAGAATAAAATTATCCTGTTTCATGCTCAACGGTCCGTCAAGGATTGCACAGGTTGTTTCCATTATTGTGTGCAAACATCTATAAATTTTTGTATCACTTTTAGGGCTTTGTTACTGTGTTTAAGGTTCACTTTGCACTGACTATAGATTTGTAAATAAAATAACGTCTTGCACTGAGGAGTGTTTATTGCAAACTGATTCATCACAATCATATTTTACACGGCGCATAGAAAATGTATGTATGCATAATTATAAACCCAACACACCGCCCACCAAAAACCCACGGTTTTTATTAAACAAACATTATTCCTTAACTAAGAAAATAACAAGGATATTAAATTACAAATGAAAGTATAAACAACGGAAGGTAAATTAAACAGTTATACAATTCGGTAATTTCCATATCATATTATGAATTGTTTTTACTCATGAGATATAAGCAGATAAACTAACAATATAGTTTGTTTTAAACGTTAAAATTAATTATCTTAAATACTAGAAACCCTTTGTAACAAATATTAATCATAACCATTAATTGGAAGCAAACATAACTTAGTAACAGATCTTTTAACAATTTTATCTCTACATTTTAAACTATAAACACGACATATATTATCCGGTCCAGGATGCTTTTGTACGATACGCCCCAAAGACCACTTCCCAGGAGGAAGATTTTCTTCCTTAATAAGTACAATGTCACCGATTTTAAACTCTTGAGTGTGTTTTAACCATTTAGGTCTTTGTTGCAGCCTAGACAAATATTCATTCTGCCATCGATGCCAAAAATCCTGTAATAATCTCTGTGTATACTGCCAATGTGATAATCTATTTACTTTAATTTGCCTTAAGTCTGGTTCTGGAATGTTAATTGGAGCCTCACCAATTAAAAAATGTCCTGGAGTGAGTATCTCCAAAGAGTCAATGTCTGTTGTATCTATTGGACACAAAGGTCTTAAGTTCAAACAGGCTTCTATTTGACACAGAGTGGTGGACATCTCCTCAAATGTAAGGTGGCTATTTAAAATCCTCTTTAGGTGGTATTTAATGGACTTCACGCCTGCCTCCCAAAGGCCACCAAAATTTGGACTGTATGGTGGATTGAAGTGCCATTGTGTGCCATCTTCTGCGAGTATATCTGATAAAGATCCAGGAATTTCTAGTCTTGCCTGTTGCCACAAATCCTTTAACTCCCTGTTAGCTCCTATAAAATTTGACACCTGTTCACTCCAAATATGACTACATTTACCTCTTCTTGCTATAAATCTTTTGAAGGCCCCTAAAAATGCATTGGTACTCATATCTCCAACCAGCTCCAAGTGAACTGCCTTTGTAGCCATACATATGAAGATGCAAATATATGCCTTATTAGTTTTGATTCCTCGACCTCTTGTCGTAAGAATTTGCAGCGGACCAGCAAAATCGACACCCGCATGTAAGAATGGCCGCGACGGTGTAACTCTTACTTCTGGTAAGTCACCCATAATTTGGGTCCTAGTGTTAGCTCGTTGTTTGGCACAAATAAGACACTTATGAATGGTAGATGTTATCAGTGATTTAACTCTTACTATCCAGAAGCGAGACCTTACATAGTTCATGGTTAGTTGAATACCTCCATGTAGGGTTTTTTTATGAGCATCGCGTACAATCAGTATAGCCAAGTAATTTTGGTGACTTAATATCATTGGATATTTCATGTTCTCCGATATTGACGCATGTCTGAGTCTACCGCCCACCCTGATAATATTCTTACTATCGAGAAAAGGATTTAAATTCTTTATGGAACTCTTGCTACTTATGCGGTTTCTTCCTTTAAGACATGTAATTTCATCTGCAAAATCTTCTTCTTGAGCAATTCTTATAGCAATTTCTAGGGCAAGATTTAATTCTTCTGTAGAAATAAACTGAGTTATATCCTTTATTTTTCGCTTCTTAAATTTTAAAAATCTTTTGCAGTAACTTAGTGTCCTTAGCAATTCATTTAAATTATTAAACTCTCCAAAACGGCTGGACCATGAACATCCTTTTGGTAGTAATTTATTTTCATTCTTAAGATTAGAGTTGATAATAATCTTTCGTTCTATGTCCGTTTCTTCGGCATTTGATGTTTTCATTATCAAATAAATATCTTCCCGCTTTAACCAATCTGGACCTTGCCACCACAACTTACACCCTTTTAATTCAGGTAATATTAATCCCCGAGAAGCAATGTCTGCTGGATTCTCCTTGGATTGGACGTGATACCATTGCTCTCCACTGTTCTCCAAAATAGTGACGACACGGTTTCTTACAAAAGTTTGCCATCTAGATGGGTCCCCTTGCAGCCATGATAAAACGATTGTTGAGTCGGTCCAGGAATAAATCTGTGCAAGTGGTATGCGAGTAGCTTCACTTATTTGTTTTAGTAATTTTGACAACAGTAGCGCACCACATAACTCTAGCCGTGGAAGGGAAAGTGGCTTTACCGGTGCTACACGACTTTTTCCAGCAATAAGGTAAGTGGTGATAGTATCGTTTGTATGTTTAACTCTTAAATAAGTAACTGCTCCATACGCTCTTATTGATGCATCGCAAAAACCATGTATTGTGACATTTTTTATATTTTTATGTGTAGTACCAAGCTATCTAGGTATTTTAATCTCATTTAGTTGATTTAAGCCATTTCTTATGTCTAACCATTCTTTTTTAATTTCAGGTTCGACGGCATCATCCCAAGAGACTTTCTTTAGCCACAACTTCTGCATTATTATTTTTGCAGGGAGGAGTGTTGGAGTTAACCAGCCGAGTGGGTCAAACAATCGTTGGATTTCTGCAAGTATGACTCTTTTAGTAATGATTTCAGAGGGCGTTGGTAAATTAACATTGTACTCCAGTATATCCTTTTCTATGTTCCAGGATAAACCAAGTGCTCTCACCGTCCCATGTACATCTAAATCAATATTAATGAGAGAGCTTCGTTCGTTGGGTTCGAATTCCTTCAAAAAATCCAAACTATTAGACGCCCATATTTGTAATTTAAAACCACCCTTTTGTAAAATATATGAAACTTCTTTTGCAGTTTTTATTGCATTTGTGATATTATCTTGACCAGACATTAAATCATCCATAAAAAAATCTTCTTTTATTGTTTTAGCAGCAACTGGATGATCCTTGCCTTCGTCGTCAGCTACTTGTTGGAGAGTTTTCACAGCAAGGTAAGGTGCCGAAGCTGTGCCAAATGTAACCCTCAATAAGCGGTAGTCTTTCATAGAGTCCATGTGGTTATTACGCCACAAAATACGCTGGTAATCTGCGTCCTCCTTTTTTACTAAGATTTGGCGATACATTTTCTCTATATCAGCTACAAAACATATTATCCTAAGTCGCCACCGCATCATTAATGATCTCATATCTTCCTGAAGTTGAGGTCCAACAAGTAGTTCATCATTAAGAGAAACATTATTTGCTCCAGGAGATAAGGCGTTAAATACTATTCGAATCTTGGTTTTTTCACTCGTTTCTTTGACTACTGGATGATGTGGAAGATACACTGCGGCCTTGTTTATATCATTTTGTGGCACTTCTTCCATATGATGTAGTTTTAAATATTCTTCCATAACCTTAACATATTCCTCCTTCAATTTTGGGTTTTTGACAAATCGCCTTTCTAATTGTAGTAGTCGAGTTTTTGCTATATCTCTAGTGTTTCCTTCTAGTGACTTTTGATTATTATTTTTGAATGTCAGCTTAACTATGTACCTCCCGTCTTCATTCCTTGTGTAAATTTCTTTGTATAATTGTTCATAGGTTTCTTCATCCTTCGTAAGTTTTTTAGAAACTTCAGGATCTATTTCCCACAATGTTTGTAGCATATCATCAAAATTGACGTGATGATGCATTACCAGTATCTCATCCCGTACAGTATTGTCTCGAACAGTCCCAAAAAGGATCCAGCCTAGGTTTGTTTCTTGCGCACATGGAGAACCAGGGGGTCCTTTGATTATATTATTCTTCATTATTTGGGCGTATACTTCAACTCCAAGCAGCATGTCTACTCGTCCTGGCTGGTTAAAACTAGGATCGGCCAGGATAAGTCCTTCTAGATGCGGCCAGGCTTGCTCGAGATAAGTGATAAAACTTGATGGTAGCAGAGTGGTTAAACGTGTAGACATGACATAAGCGTTTATACGAAGCTTGAATTGGTGGTCATATTTAGAAAGAAGCTCGAGATGTACTTCATGTTTAACCCTTGTTTGTGTTGAACCAACTCCCGTTATGACTACATTACCCATTGCAGCCGTTCTTTTACACCTTAGCAATTGTACCGCTCTTTCAGTTATGAAGTTTGCCTGCGATCCTTGGTCAATTAAAGCGCGTAACATCGTCGTATGCCCGTTCTCATCTCTTACAGGTACTAATACAGTAGCCAATAACGATGTGGATCTTCTTGTTGCTAAGTGTGATGATAATGCTACTTCTTCCTCCTTTACACCCTTGTCATACTCAAGGGGTTCCATGTAATTAAGGTGAGCTTGTATATTGTTTGGCTTGTTAACATCTTTTGGTTGGTGTAGTAATGAATGGTGTCGGCGATGGCATATCTTACAGGACACATGAAGACGACATTTCGTTGCAGTATGTCCTGGAGCCAAACAATTGTAACATAAGTTCTTATTTCTTACAAACTCAGACCTCTCCTCAGGTGTCAACTTTGCAAAATCTTTACAGTGACTTATAGTGTGTTCTTCATTACACTTTATGCAAGTTCTCGTCGGAGATACAGCAGACGTATGGAATGACCTTTCCTTTGTTGTTTTAGATTCCCGTGAAATGGATGAAGATGGCGTTATTAATTCTAATGTGCGAAACTTTGATTCCAAAAAACTTCTTAAATCCTTCCAGGTAGGTAACTCATCGTGGTTGGTTTTGTAGGCATGCTCTTCCCATGCTTTATGTGAATCTGGGTCCAATTTCTGTACGACCAGAAATATTATTAACGGATCCCAAGAATCGGTAGATAACTGAAGGTTATTTAAACTATTTAAGCATTCCGTAGTTGTATCTAGTAATAATTTTATTTGAAAAGCTGTTTGTGCAATTACCTTTTTTTGTTCAAATAACCTTTTCATTATTGAGTTAACGATAAGCCTTTTATTTCCATACCTATCCTTTAATAAACACCATGCGTGTTCATAGTTGTCTTCTGTAATTTTAATATGTTTTAATAACGCTTCCGCTTCTCCGACTATGCTGGATTTTAAATAATGCAACTTTTGAACCTTACTGAGTGAACTGTTGTTATGTACCAGCGACGAAAACAAATCATTAAAAGACGGCCATTCTTCATAACTCCCACCAAATGAAGGTAACTGTATTCGAGGTAGTTTGACTTCTGGCGGTGACGCCAGGCCTCCGGTCACGCCCATGGTGTCCGTAGATTCCAACCTCCTAGATGGTATTACGCTCAACATGTCCTTCAAGTCGCCCTTTAGACACAAGTACAAATCCTCGATGATGAAATAATCTTCGTTAACAAAATATGATATATTTGGCCTTTGTTCTTTGGTTACACACTTAACCAAGTCCTGGTGCGTCGATTTAAATGTTTGCCAATATTCTTCGATGCACTGTAATCTCGTTTCAATATAACATTTTGTTAAACGTTGTTTCGGACACTTTTTTAAGTTTACTTGTGTCTTTTGTAAAAGAACTGCCGTTTCTTCTAATAAATTTAATAATTTTTCACTCATTTTCACGTTTTGTAATAGACTAAAGCACTTCAATTAAGAACGTTAACGATGTTTATAATATTGCACTTTACAAATTGTAGCTATTCAATTTCTTTAGCGAGGGCCTTGTGAATGCATTCCTATTGTTCTTAGTTGCCGGCCGCTCGATGTAGTAAACAACTATTGATCCGGCTCTAACTCGACCATATGTTACTGTGTTTAAGGTTCACTTTGCACTGACTATAGATTTGTAAATAAAATAAAGTCTTGCACTGAGGAGTGTTTATTGCAAACTGATTCATCACAATCATATTTTACACGGCGCATAGAAAATGTATGTATGCATAATTATAAACCCAACAGGCTTTACCTATGAAACTTTAACATGGAATCCTAAATTAAAATAAATTATACATTTAAGGCATTTTATTATTTTTTGTAAAATCATTGACGAAAAAATATATACATTTTGTTTCTGTGGGTTTTCTGTTACTTTGCTACCCTATATTATATGTACTCTTACTATGGACTCTTAGTGATCAAATTAAATTAAAAAAATATCGATCATCGTCCCCCAAGCTCTCACGGACACGTAAATGATGGTGCAGAGTTCCCATATACAGAATTCAACACATTTTTGATTTGCGTAGGCGCATTTCCTTTCAAAAACAAAAATTTATTGACAGCTCGATGCTCAATTTGTTTCATTTTCACAAATAAACTCAAATCGCCTTACACAAACGACTGTCAAATAACATCTAAGAGTAAAAAATGACTGAAATTTTGGCGCGTAGCTGTCAAAGGATGCACAAGTACATTAACTAACTTTTGTTGACGATTGCTGACATCTTCACGTTGAGATCGGAAACTTTGTAGACCAACCTAGTATAAACAGAAAAAACGACAACAGATAATATTTGGACTTTATATGTTTTTTTTTATAGGAGAGGAAGCAAACGAGCATGCGGCTCACCTGATGGTAAGTGAATACCGCCGCCCATGAACAACCGCAACACCAGGGGAATTGCAGATGTGTTGCCTGCCTTTTAAAAAGCTCTTTTCTTGAAGGTCCCTAAGTTGTATCGGTCCGAAAAAATCGCTGGTGGTAAACCATTCCACAAGGAAATTGTGCGAGGAAGAAAACATCATCTAAATCGCACAGTGGTGGACCGCTAATCATCCAGATGCAGCCTGTTTTCTTTTGAGAAAATGGCGAACTAATGCAAATGTTCACCTTCAAGGCGAATCAAATACATCGTTGCCAAAAATTTAGATTTGTACTTCGTAACCTAGCGTTTTAGGTCATAAATGGGATCCAAGTAAGAACATTCTTCGATTTCCAGTTAACATACAGATGTATCAAAATATAAACAAAAGAACAATTTTATCCAATTCAGCTAAATTATTTGATCCACTAGGTTTGCTTAGTCTTTTTCTGTCATACCTAAAATAATTCTACAAAAACAATAGTTAACAAAACTTGTACAAAATGGTTAAGTTTTATAAATAATTGCAACACCGCATCTTTCAGCGAAAAACCCAAATGCGTACTCATTAATAAACCTGTGGTGATAGACTTACATATTTTCTCGAATGCATTACAAGTAGCATTTACTACTGCAATCTATCTCATCGGATGATGGTTCAGATAATTTTCTAGTGAGATTACTTTGTGTGTAAACTAAAGTTGCTCTAAATGAAACTAATTTTACGGATTTTATCGCGTATATTAACTTATTTTACATTCCCGACGTTTCAAGCACTTTACAGCACCCATGGTCACGGGGGGGACTGAGGTGTATGACGTCCCAATGTCATAGTTAACCACGGCTACCTCCAGATTAAAAATTATTAATTTTTGTTCCGATCTACGCAGTATGAACTTACAGTATCATGAAGTCTTGCAGTTGTATGCTTGGGTTGGGATTTAATTTTATTAATTATGGGATCCCAAGCAGATGGTAGCACCCAGCCATCTTCTCTATTGAAATTAGGATGTTTTTTGATTTCAACAGCCTCGCGAATCATCCTTGGAAGGAATCGGTGTTCTTTAGCGAGGATTTGTGGTCTATCAAATCTAATGTAGTGACGGGGGCGATCCTGTACATGTTCACAGACTGCAGACTTCCCGGAGCGTCTATTCTTCACATCAGCTATGTGTTCTTTAACGCGGGTTTTTATGGATCTTTTAGTTTGTCCTATATAAGAGAGACCACATTCACAATCCAGCTTGTACACTCCTGCATCTTGCAGAGGAATATTACACTTGACTGATGGTAAAAACTGACTAATCTTCTTCGGCGGCTTGAAATATGTTTTAATGGAAGCACGATTCAAGATGTAGCCAATCTTGTCAGTGACACCTCTGACATATGGCAGTACAGCAGGCACTCGCTCGACTGTGGCCGGCTTCACTCGTTCACTGTGACGTAGGCGCGGGACCCGAAGCTTATTGTCGTGCAAAACTTGCTTGACGTGTTGGAGCTCGGCGGCCAGGTGTTTACTGTCACAGATCCCTCGTGCTCTCTGAAACAAAGATTTACCCACGGTAGCTAACTGTGAAGGATGGTGGTGAAAATCACCGTTTAAATATCTATCTGTATGGGTCTTTTTTCTATACACAGTGTGGCTCAAGGTGTTATCAGGATTCCGAATTACTAATACATCTAGAAAAGCTAAAGAATTGTTTGCCTCTAACTGCATTGTGAACTGAATTTTAGAATTTAAGGAGTTAAGATGGTCTAAAAATGCAGTTACTTTATCTAAAGGTAGAATTGTGAAAGTGTCGTCTACGTACCGCTTGTAGAATCTTGGGTTTATGGGAGAAGTAAGCAGGGCTTTCTCCTCAAAGTCCTCCATGAATATATCGGCGACAATGGGAGATACAGGTGAGCCCATCGCCACTCCATCTACTTGCTTGTAGAACTCCTCCTTCCACAATAGGTAGCCAGATGTAAGGCAGTGTCTGAGTAATACTGCATATTCTACGGGCATGTTGTTTTCCTCTAGCCTTCTAGTAACAATCCATAGTTTCATTGTCTGCCAGATGTAGGTCTTTAATCTCGCTGACAAAATGGTAGGAATCCTTTGTGTGTGCTCTTGTATGTCCCTTGAGAGGTGAGAGTATATTCGCTAAGTATTGAGCCAATCTGTAAGTTGGTGAATCGATTTGGCTCACTATAGGACGTAGTGGAGCATTGGGCTTGTGTATTTTTGGTAACCCATACAACTTCGGTGGTTTAGCACACGTAGGTATTATCGATTTTACGTCTAGATTTAATTTTTCGGAGTGTTTCTTTATGAGATCACTAGTTGTTTTAAGTGTGTTATTTGTTGGGTCATTTTTAACCTTTTTATACGTACTTGCATCCGACAAAAGTTCTTGTATTTTAGAATTATAATCTGACGTATCCATAACTACCGTGGCATTTCCCTTATCTGCGCGGAGAATCGTGAGTTCTGGTTTATTGCGTAGGTTAGTCAACGCTTTGAATTCGTCTTTAGGTAGATTCGGTTTTGGCGCTGAACTTCGACGTAATATAGACGAAATGTCTTGACGTATCGCTTCCAAATCATTAATACTCATTAATAAACCTGTGGTGATAGACTTACATATTTTCTCGAATGCATTACAAGTAGCATTTACTACTGCAATCTATCTCATCGGATGATGGTTCAGATAATTTTCTAGTGAGATTACTTTGTGTGTAAACTAAAGTTGCTCTAAATGAAACTAATTTTACGGATTTTATCGCGTATATTAACTTATTTTACATTCCCGACGTTTCAAGCACTTTACAGCACCCATGGTCACGGGGGGGACTGAGGTGTATGACGTCCCAATGTCATAGTTAACCACGGCTACCACCAGATTAAAAATTATTAATTTTTGTTCCGATCTACGCAGTATGAACTTACAGTATCATGAAGTCTTGCAGTTGTATGCTTGGGTTGGGACTTAATTTTATTAATTATGGGATCCCAAGCAGATGGTAGCACCCAGCCATCTTCTCTATTGAAATTAGGATGTTTTTTGATTTCAATAGCCTCGCGAATCATCCTTGGAAGGAATCGGTGTTCTTTAGCGAGGATTTGTGGTCTATCAAATCTAATGTAGTGACGGGGGCGATCCTGTACATGTTCACAGACTTCAGACTTCCCGGAGCGTCTATTCTTCACATCAGCTATGTGTTTTTTAACGCGGGTTTTTATGGATCTTTTAGTTTGTCCTATATAAGAGAGACCACATTCACAATCCAGCTTGTACACTCCTGCATCTTGCAGAGGAATATTACACTTGACTGATGGTAAAAACTGACTAATCTTCTTCGGCGGCTTGAAATATGTTTTAATGGAAGCACGCTTCAAGATGTAGCCAATCTTGTCAGTGACACCTCTGACATATGGCAGTACAGCAGGCATTCGCTCGACTGTGGCCGGCTTCACTCGTTCACTGTGACGTAGGCACATTATTATTTATGGATACGTCAGATTATAATTTTAAAATACAAGAACTTTTGTCGGATGCAAGTACGTATAAAAAGGTTAAAAATGACCCAACAAATAACACACTTAAAACAACTAGTGATCTCATAAAGAAACACTCCGAAAAATTAAATCTAGACGTAAAATCGATAATACCTACGTGTGCTAAACCACCGAAGTTGTATGGGTTACCAAAAATACACAAGCCCAATGCTCCACTACGTCCTATAGTGAGCCAAATCGATTCACCAACTTACAGATTGGCTCAATACTTAGCGAATATACTCTCACCTCTCAAGGGACATACAAGAGCACACACAAAGGATTCCTACCATTTTGTCAGCGAGATTAAAGACCTACATCTGGCAGACAATGAAACTATGGATTGTTACTAGAAGGCTAGAGGAAAACAACATGCCCGTAGAATATGCAGTATTACTCAGACACTGCCTTACATCTGGCTACCTATTGTGGAAGGAGGAGTTCTACAAGCAAGTAGATGGAGTGGCGATGGGCTCACCTGTATCTCCCATTGT